TGAGTGCACACTTACAGGCGAACCAAGAGTAACTACGTAAGATTAATTCACGCCGTGAAACATTTTAAAATTGTCACAACATGTAGGCCCATAACATATCAACATTCGATTAAAAACAACATCGATTAGACTCACAAATAACTCGATTTCTCTCGTCATTTTAATATATGTATATATTTAACAGGACATTACTACTGTTAACAGCTATAAACAGCATCGGCACTTGGTACAGTATCGTTCTAACGCATTTATTACAACATATAAATCTAAGCTGTTCATTTTCCTTCTCTTATTAATAAATAGTCGTAAAATATCTCATAGCCTCAAGGAATGTTCCACTCAATCCTCCACTGATAATTAATTAATTAATTTAATCACGATATTGACTCAAAAATCAAATGAATCCCGCGCTTGTGCTACTGACCTGGTATTTCACTTCGTCCGTTCATGCTTGTTATACGACGTGCGTGTGGTCCGTCTCGGGTTGAGCCATTCCGATAACTGACGGGCGCTCCGGTCACATCCAACGCGAGCGAATTGTACAGGCGCCATTAGATCACAGACGGGCGTAACGCGTATAAATGTTTACATGGAGCTAAAAGCTTCCTTTGCTGTCCTAAGGCCCTCCGTATTGTTTGACACATCGGAGAGAAAACGTCGGTGTGAACCCCCACCACCACAACTACGTCACATTGGTCATTACGAGACGCAGGAACGCTCTGTGCAGATATTTCGTCTCTAGAGATCTGATAGGTATACCAGCAGTAGGAACGAGACGACGAACTGACTCCGCTGATCAAGAAACGTGGAATTCGAAGGTTAATTACCGAGTTTATAAAAGCCAGCCACAGGACTGAGTCTTGAGCCAAAAAAATCCATCCGAAATCCCCAGGCCCTGTTTTTTTTAAGAATAGTAGCGGGGAGTAATTTTTCTTTTTTTTTTCAAAAATGTCAGCCAAATCCCGGTCATTTAGCGTGTTGCTTAGTTACTACACCGACCGACCTACGTGGTCCTTCTACATAAATATAGCCCTATATAAATTCCACTCAATTCAGCTAAATTCGGTTTTAGCCATATTACTCTTCAAATGAGTTTTAAACGCGACGAACTTTCAAAATGATAGCCCCCTTATAATTGAAAAAGAAAGACTTTTCAGAAGTTTGCCAACAATCGTCACCGAAACCATATAATACAGCCCTCCCAGTAAGATTTAAATTCTTGAACCACACCTCTAAAAAAGCTCCCTAAACGTCGGCCAGTACAATTCGATAAAGGCTTGAACCGTACAGAGTCCACCCTGACTTCATCTTCGAAAACCTAACCCAACCTAACCTAACCTAACCTAACTTAACCTAACCTAACCCAACTTAACCTAACCTAACCTAACCTAACTTCAAGTTTATTTAAAAATACGAACTTTCAGGCTTCGGTGCTTTAATTTCTGCGCGAATGTCTCGATAGAATCTGTAAGTCTCAGTAAATTCTAGCAAAGAACGAAAATTACGTTCATTGTCTTAAGGTTCCTTTAGAACGCTCAGAGGTCTTACGTCTCTGTGACCCCTTCGAGGCAAACACTGACGGCAGCGAAGGAACTTATTCTCGCAACAAATTTTATATTCTGTTCAATTTCTCTTCCTTCTGGTAAATTCAGTTGCATCTGACATTTTTCCTTCCGATCAATGTGGTCTGTACGCCTACTTCCACGATTTCTGACGTTACTAAGTCCTTCCATATCTGCGTCTGCAGTTAAACTTGAATAAATCTTTCATTTCCATTAATAAAAGCGACGGGGCGAGGGTATTTAACCCGGGACTGGTGGCGTGACTTTTAGACTCCCGCTCGCGCATTGCAATTAGAGCAGCTGGCTCCCAGCATCAGATGCTGCTTATTTGTATCGGCTTACAGTAGCGATGATGGCACGTGGTTGCGATATTTACAGAGAATTAAGAGCATATTAAGTTTGTGGGCGGGGTTTGTGTTACCACTCTGTTCTGAATGTTTGTCTTTCTGTATACAGTCTAAAAGCAGAAACATTAAAATATACAAAACAAGTAAATTTCCCGTCTAAGTGACTGGAGAATCTAAAAAGTAAACATATATCGTCATAAATATTATTTCACAAGCCCCAAAATCCCTCAACAGCATAGCAACGGTCATGACAACACACACGCATCATAAATACTATCCCATAAGGTTCAGAATTCCTTAACAGCAAATTATCACCAACCAATACTTGCCTATTTTATAGATAGATAATAATTTTATCAATTTTGAAAGTGAAATTTGGTCCCCCGCTGTAGGCGAAGGACTCACATACAAGTTTAGGGCGAGGAGAATATTTGGGTCTCAGATGCAGAGATTAACAGGAGATCAGAACGAACTGCGTAATCGAGAGCCGTAGAATTCTCTGGTTTAACTTTACAAAAAAAATCAGAGTGATCACATTAATGAGGATGAGAGGGATGGAATTTGTTACGCCGCGATCTCCGGCCCACGCAGTGCCGAAAGAGAGAGAGAGAGAGCGTCAGGTCTCGAACTGAATGACCTCGCTAACTGACAGGTTAAAATCTGTTTTAGCTTTTTTCTTTATTACCTCGCCTCGAAACGTGTTGTTTCAGCTTTGAAGGTCTGATTGTTAGAGATAGTGTTTTGTTTTTGTGCCAAAGCTGATGAGATCCACAGCTTTCTGCCCCCCCCCACCCCACCCCCTAAAATGTCACCATTCGACCTTCGCCCTGCGCCTTTCCACGGCCTACTCTGTTCACTTTACATTCTTCTAGTTTCATCCAGCTTCAGAAGAGATCTCTATACAGCGGACTGCGTAGGGCATCTTCGCAATAGCATTAAGTTATTCCAAAAAACATCAACTACTTAGGTTAATCAAGCTTAAACGTATAAAGATAAATCACACTCTTCAAATTCCGAATATACGTAACCACAAAACAAATGACGACATTGAAATAATTTCGTATTTCCGGTTCAATCATAAATCATGTTACTGACGAAATATACCGGCGAGTGATCGGGAGGTCCCAGGTTCAAATTTATGTCAGAATAGAGACCATCCTCTGTGAGGATTCTAGTGGTTTTATTCAGTCAGTCTAGTCAAATGCACTAATAGCATCTACCTTAAATTTGGCTATGACAATTTCTATCCTAACAATTTTCAACTCTTATTTATTAAACTTCCTATCACTCGACTTTAGTCTGACCTATTGGCATCAGCGTTAAATAAACTCAAACAAAATAAACATAAATAACAAAAGAAGAGCTAATTTAATCGGGTTTTTTTAAGAGTTTCAAGCCATAAGCGAGAAACACAGAACGAAGGTTGGTTTGAACAGATAATTGAACAGGATGGTTGCATCCACAAGGGCTCTTGAACTTTTACGTTCCACAAGGGGACTACACCAGCGACCCAGACTAATCATTGATCAACGTCCAGTGGAGTTTTTAAGAAAATAATTAATAGGATAAGGCCCTTCACCATGTGAACAAGTCAATGAGGATGGGATTGATGGGCATGCAGCACGCATGAGAGGATAAAGACCACTTTGGAAACCGAAAAAGGAGATTTAGATACGTGTGGAATGGATTAAACTGGCTCAAGAACTATCAGTATTCAGTTGTGAGTTCTTGTGATCACTGAAAAGATGCGGGAAATGTGTTGGCTAGCTGAGCAACTATCAGATTCTGAATAGGATCCTGATCGACGGCGTTAACAGAATGTTCGGACGAGAAGCAAGGTCTCTCGTCCCTAGAAATCCTAAGGTTCGTTCTCCTTTTGAAGCAGGAGAGAGAGAGAGAAAGTGGGGTGGGGGTTATAAAGTTGGTTTGAGATTACTAAGGTTCCCAGGCAGTGCCTGCTCGTCCTTCTGGTATGAGTACGTTTAGCGAGGGCAAGGGATTTAGGAGACAGGATGGGTTAAGAAATGGAAAGGGGGGAGTTGATCAGGGTCTTTGGGTTAATTTTGAAATTTTATTTTGGCCTTGGGAGTGGCGTTTGGAAAAAGGTTTACGTTAATGTGGAAGGTACAATTAATATTTAAGAATCCAGTCCGTACCGCGAAGAAAACAAACCTCTTAACCATTACAAATATCAGTTGTTTAACGCTGTTTAAGGAAATAATGGCTGTTTAGACTAAGAATCACAACGAAAGCCGATAACACAAAATGAAGAATTGCTGATTGTCGAAGCAAGATGATGTTCAGCCACTTAGCTCGCTCTTGCCCTGAGACGCTGGAGTGTCCTGTGTCAGACAGCTTGGCACCAAAGAGAAATTTCACCCCCAAGTCCTCACCCTTCGGACCACCAGGCATCCCCCAACACGTGAGCTGTGAGGACAGATTACCAGCTACTTGGGTGGGAACCAAGGCGTCCCTTTGGGATTTTTGTTGCTAAGATACGGAAACAGTTCCCATGCCTTCAAAACTTAAAGTCCAGCCCAGGGACGACTAATGGTAGTGTGACTAATTCTTAGTTCAGAAGATGGCTGTCTTCAGGGTTGTTGCGCTGCGTAGTCTCGCAGAAGTTAACCGACATTTCAGAGGTCCTTGCTGCCTCCATCATCAGAGCGATAGCCCAGAAGACAGTCATCTTGGTTTGTCAACCTAGTTTGGTCATTGACGTAACGACCACCTCCTTCCTAATCCTTACTTATTACACGGTTATAATTTTCTTCCCCGTTCATCTGTGCTATTGAGACAGTTGCCTTAAAATACCCTAAATCCAAGAACAAATATGGTTTCTTTTGGTGGATTTGTGTCGGCCATGTTTAATCTGCGTTCCTCTAGTGCATCATTTCGATGTACCGTCCGATCTGCTACGTAGTTACGCGATATACGCACATAGCTCGCTTTTACCCCCAAGCACCTTCTTGCGGGCGACCCCCGAAGACTGCAGCAGCCTTTGAGGTGAACCTAGCGGTGAGGGCGGAGGGGAGTGGAGAGAGGAAGGGGTGTGACTGTGACAAATGTCCTCGGATGCAGCGGAAATTGCTTAATAGGGTAGTGAGTGGGAGGCTTCGAGAGGTAAGAGCTGGGCATTCCTTTTAACAAAAATATATAGATCAGTAAATGTCACGCAATCCCGAGCGCTCCACCCATCACGGTTTTGAAACTGAGGGCCGCGGAACCTCACAAGCACGTAACCCGGCAGTGGCGTTAATGTGTCTGTACGAACTCAGTCTGTGGAGGGTTGAAAATAACATATGAAAAAGTATTTCCACGTACAAAAAACATGATGGTGGACAGCAAATTTCCGTGTTCCACATTTTTGATGGTGTTGAAATCTAGGCTCGGAGACCAGCTAGTCCTCCCCTAGGAAAATATCAGGACAGTTCCTAAAATCAAACCGTGCAAAATGTCCTCGTTTCCTTGAAGCTGTTAGCAGCACAGAGTTTATCCTCACTTTCTGTCCAGATTTTCTCTCCCTGACCTAACCTAACCTAACCTTAACCTAACCTAACCTAACCTTAACCTAACCTAACCTAACCTTAACCTAACCTAACCTAACCTTAACCTAACCTAACCTAACTTCTGCTGTCGTTCCAGGACCTTTATCTTCTTGCATTAAATTACGCTCCCTGTAACAACAGTTGATGCCTGCAGATATCTGGTTATACACTTCTGCACTACAAGCGTGTAGGA